GTTTTGTTGACAACCTTAAAGGGGTCATATGATGTGATTTCAATTTTTCTTTTCTCTTTGGAGTGTTACAAGCTCTTGGTGCATAAAGAAGATCTGTAAAGTTGCAAAGACTAAAGTCTCAAATCCAAAGATATATTCTTTATAAAAGTTAAGAGTCAGCCACGCCTACCTAAAACGGCTCGTTCTAACACGCCCCCACATATCTACGTCGCTATGGGGGAAGATTTGCAGAACGCTGCCCAAATGTTCACGCAAAGAAAGAAGGCGTAACTTTTATTCTCGCTGTAGTTTTGTTTTTGCCGCCGCCATGTCGTAAAGTCGTTAATTGTTTGGTCTTCCAAAAGAGGACGATATCTGCTTCATTATGCCTGGAGCTGATCCGTGCTGGTTGCTGAGGAAATACAACAACTTTGCGCTGTGGATCACCGGATCGGCTTTCACCGTGGACGAAGCGGAGTCCAGCCCAGGGTCGTCACATTAAGGGGCGTAACATTTCCGTCACACAATTAAGGTATTCGGCCAATCACAACGCACTGGATAGCTGGCCAATCAAAACACACCTCTCTTTTTCAGACCAATGAGCTTTGTAAAAATCGATGCTTTTCAGAAAGGCGGGGCATAGTGGAGAAACAATAATGTACAGTATGTTGAAAATAATGTGTTTTTTGAACCTTAAACCGCATACACACATTTCATTACACCAAATATACAAAATAATGTTATTTTTAGCAGCATCATATGACCCCTTTAAAATTACAGACAGCTAATTCTCATAAACAGAGCTTCACCACTTGATGGCAGTGTTAAGCTGTATGGCAGGATCAAGGCACAGACATAAAAAGCAATGTAGTTAGTTCAGCTTTGTGTAACCATGCATAAGGTGAGTTTAGTTAGGCTAAATGAATGCAGTTGTATCCTTTGATATCCATCTCAGACATTGAATACAATTTTAAAACATCAAAAGCAATTTCTTTAAAAATAATTAAAAATACATCTCGTAGGCACAGTAGCCTACACCGTGTACTTTCTTTAGTTTGCCGAAAATAATGTATAATATGTATAAGATTATAATATAATGTATTAATAATCTTTAACCGAAAGGTATGTTATTTGCGATATTTAAGGTAGGCTATGTTTTTAAAGTTCAGAGTATTATAATGGAATACTGCTTTTAAAAAAATGTCCTGTTTTTAAACCACCCTCAAAATAAGGGGGTGCATATTTCAAAGAAGTCACACGCAGGAAGAGCACAGTTTGTGCAACCACCCCATCACCGCGCGCTTGTCCATGCAATTAGCCCTTATCTGTAAGCAGTTTAATTTTCTGCGACATGGCGCGAGCGGCTCGGGCCTGATGGATGTGACATTAACGGGAGATGAAGCTGGGGAGATTGGACGCTGCAGTCACATAGTGGCATTTGTCACTGCCCCGGTCATGCAGATTGCGCCAGCACCGGCCACTGACTAAGATTAATGACGACGGCTCTCAGTCTTTGTTTCTCTCTGTGCTTGTGTTGAGCTCGAGCCTAAATGCCATTCACACACACCCGGGCTTTATGATAAGACCTCATATATACATACATACATACATACAGACTGTACCAGAGTCATCATTATTTCCTGGTAATTATATTAAAATTCAGTGGATCCCATTTATTAATGTAAATTCAAGTCATGTCATTAGTGGTGCTCGGTAAGGAAACCCAACACTATTACATGCTTGGGGATTTTTCAAAATAGGTGTGCTATTAGCCTACTAGCCTAGTAGGCCTATACCTTTAGACTTTTCACAGACTGCAATGACGCATTTCCGAAATAAAAATCGTTCAGTTTGTTTATTATACATTTTATGTATATTTCTAACTGTTTTTGGTACAGTATTTTATTCTGACATAAAAAAAAAACTCTGCTGCAATCTGTCTATTTTTCCTCTTTTGGAAAGTGGTGAAAACGCACTAGGGGATGTTCTATTTTGCTGTTGGAGTAGGCCTAAATGGGGAAATAAAAATTATATTTATTATGGTTTCCATGTACCGCCATAGAAATGTACGTCCAGACCAAAATGTGAAAATGGTCCATAATAAAATGAGTAAAATTATCCTGTATTTTTTACACACAAAACAGAGGAGATCTATCTAAGGACTGGAATCATAGAGGCTCAGATATGAGTTAGTAACCAACCTAGAAACCACCAAGAACATCCTAGCAACCACCCAGCCCACCCTGGTAACCCCACAGCAACGTAGTGGCAACCATTCCCAAACCCACAGCATTGTGGTGGTGAGTTTTGCACGGTCATGCACCGCTTTCATTTTCTAAAATGTGAAAAATCTAGTTTTCGTGCAGTTGTTGTTGTTATTATTATTTAGATTTATTTGCATTTATTTTGCTCTCTCTTTTTTACCCTATAGCCTGCACACACATACACACACAGCATAGTAGAACCTGCAGACCTATATCATTTTTGAAGTGGCAAAAGCAAGCTGATAAATAGGGACCAAGGGATGTCTACCGATTAAACAAAAATGCAATTCTTGGAATCTCTTACAAAAACACTGCGTAGAATCATGAAAGGAATTCCTAAGAAGTATACGAGACCTCCACGTATCCCCTCGATTGTAAGAAGGGAGAGAGAGCGGTAACCCCAAACTGGCTGCACGGCTGCACAGAAAATGGTTTTCCTTGACAAATGAGGTGATGCGGACCAGGCTCAGATGGATGGGGGTTTGGGCTGGTTGTATCAGGGCTCTTGGGATGCTGGGTATTTACTCAGTCATTCATCATCCTCTGGCACATCCACTTATACAGGATCTGCACCACACACCCATACTGATGTAATTCTCCACATGGAGAGCTGAATTACCATAGCCTGTCCTCAGTGTGTGTGTACGGATATGTTATTGTGAAGCGTGGAACAATTTTCTGGATGTGCATCTGTGCACTTTTATGTATCTGTGAACCTCAAACTGTAGCAACACACTCTAATGGCAAATCTAACTGCTTTACGTTTTGGTAAATTGGTGGCTAATACGTATGATCTCATTCATACGTTTTCCTATGATCATAAGGTCAGGTTATTCCATGAGTGTATTTATTCTAACATGTACCCTTGATGGTGTGAATTGGACAGGACAGTTGTACCACCCTGACAACTTTGACCTAATGCCCTAACACTTTTACAATTCATTTTAATTAAGAAATGATACACATTTCATCATGAAAGAGATTAAAGCTGCAGTCTGTAATTTTTATTTGGTTAAAAATGATCCGAAATCAATATTTGAGAAAGTACATAACTTATGAAATATATACTCATAGTCACGCAATGTTAATGTTGTTAACATGAATAATTTGAGAATAAAGTATAACAATAATTATAATTTGCACAGTTTGTTGTGATATGAGCTAACCGAACTTTAGATTAAATTACCATATAGCGCGATTTATTGTAATGCTTTTTTCCTCAGTTGGTCAGAACAAGTGTGGCAGACTTGTTACTTTCTTGTTCCGATGACAATATACGGTGAAAATTCGTATTTGGATCATATATTCCAAGACATAGGCTAGAATCTGTGATTGTGAAGTACAGTAAATATCCACACTGGTACAGTGACTGACTGCCACACATATTCCTCAAAACATTAGATTCATCCACGCTGGAGCCGTGCCGGCGCACAACCCACGCAAGGGAGATAATTCCGCAAACAGCTGCAATTGTAGGTTTTCAAGCAGAAGAGGCAAAACTTACGGACTGCAGCTTTAAGTCATGTTTTTGCATGTAAGTCACACCACATGACTTTGTTGGTTGCACCACATGACAGTGATTTGGTGGACAACAGTTTTTCCAATTTTAATAGTATTTTAAATGAAACTGGTTTGCTGTTAATGCTTTTCACATTTATATGCTTTCGTACAACCCGCTTATACCCCACTTACAGATTTTGGTTTGGACCTTCATTCTAACTTTTTTTTCCTAAAATTAAATCCAGCGTTTTTGTAGGAATCACATCGTACAAATTCATAAAAAAAATTGCCACCTTGTAAAATTATTACGGTTATTGCATGTATTTGTTCTAATATGTGTCCATGATTGTGTAAATTGGACAGGGCAGTTGGATCAACCTGACAATTTTAACTTTATGTCCTGAAAACTATTACAATTCATTTATAATTTATAAATTAAAACATTTTCATCATACAAGGGTTTAAGTCATTTTTTTTCATAA